AGTATTCAGGGGAGGAGTCTTAGAGGAAGTGAGATTAAGGCAGTAAGAGTAGGCAGGCAGAGGGATGGGAAGGTGGAAAGAGTATGGCAGGAAGGAAAGGGCCCCGGGTGTGAGGATGCACGGCTGGGAAGGTGCTGCTTAGTTTGGCTGGGGCTCAGAGTCAGGGAGTAGACAAAGCAGAAAGAGGGGGCCTTGCAGGCATGCCCAGACGTCTGTCCTGAAGGCAGTGGGAGCCCTGGAAGCATCTGGCAGGAGAGTGACACGACTGGGTTGCTCTTCTGGGTAAGCTCCCCCTGCTACAGCGTGGAGGACATGCTGGAGGGAGAATATGACTGTGGCCACTGGAAAAGGCTTTGCAGCGATCTGGGGGAGTCATGACAGTGGCTTGGAGCAGCACAGCAAAGAGGGGATAAGTATATGAACCTAGGGGTACTTTGCAGACAGATTTAGCACTATGAAGTTGATTTGGTGACTCTCATCCAGGGGTGATCTGCCCTCACCAAAGGAAGATCTGGCCATGTGGAGGCACTTTTGGTTGTCACAACTGGGCAGAGAGGAGTTGCTATCACATCTGGTGGATAGAGGCCAGGGATGCTGATAAACACCCGGTAATGCACAAGACAGCCCCCCATAACAAAGAGCCATCCAATCCAGCAGGTCAACAGTGTCTAGGCTCAGAACCCCGAGTTGACTGGCCTGGGAGGAGAGAAGAATGTCCATCCACTGGGACGGGAAACGGAAAAAAAAGTTAATCCCAGAGAGAGGAAGGTGGTGCTGGCAAAGGGAGACAGTGAAAGCTGTGTGGTGTGTGATGTCCAGCAAGCAATCAGAGCTGAAATGTTTATCTGCAACAGCCTAGAGCAAACTCATGCACAGGTGCAGGAAACGTGAGGCACAGACAGGTTAACTCCCTAGCCCACTACCATGCAGCTCGCCCTGTCCTTCTGTGACCTCCAGGCCTCAAAGTCAAGGCTCCTGTGTACCTGGATCAGAAGGGCTGGGAGGACCACACGGCTCCATCCAGCAGAGCTCTGGAGCCCAAGGAGGGAAGAGAAGGTGGGCAGACCTTTCCCCATGGAAATCTCCACATGTGGATTCCTGACCCCTCCTGGGTGACATTTTCCAGGCGGTTAATACCAGGGTCCAGCTGCACCTCTGGGAAAGAGCTTGTCCTCCTCCCAAGGCCTCTCAGGCACAGCAGGAGCCTCAATTCCATCCTCCACCCTGCAAACACAGGTGACATCGTAAAGAGCCACTTTCCGTTCAACAACAGCTAGTAATGTGACAGCCACTGTTCTCAGTGCTTTACACATATTAACTCCTTTAATCCTCACAATGATCCTCATAATTATTCCCATTTTACAGATGAGGGAACTAAGGCACAGAGAAGTTAAGTAATTTATGCAAGACCACAGAGCCTATGTGTAATGGTGGAGCCAAGGTCTGAACCCAGACAATCTGGCTCTAGAGTCTGGGCTCTTAGCCTCCATCACACTACCTTTCCAACACGCTGGATGTAGCTGTGCCACACCCCCACACAAGGCAAGGGCTCAGGAAGGAAGGGGTGCTCGGCAGAGAGCAGGGCAGGGGGATACCTCCCAGTGCGTACTGTTTATGGGAGTCCCGGTAGCTGCCCCCACGCTCACTTCCTCTGAGATCGCCAGCCCCAAACCAGCTGCACCTTCACTCTCGGACCAACTCTATTCTCTCCAACCCTCACATAAATGGATGGGGTGTCCACTGTGCAGCTGAGAACCGCCAGGGCCATTCTGCAAAGGAGCGGCCAGAACCACAAGGGCTGCCCCCAGGAACTCTCTGGGGGCCACTACATGAGAGCCACTGAACACAAGTGTGACCCCTGCAGGGTCTGGGGTCAGGATGCCCCCTTCCCCACATCCAGCTCTGGGCTGGGCTGGAGGGCAGCGTGCCTGAAGTACAGAGGGAAGGTGGCTTGACAGCCAAGGCCTCAAGTCCACAGATCCTGAACCTCGCTGGAGGGAAACCCATCCGGGAGGGCATGGGAGAGGAAAATGCCAGCTGGGATCTGTGGAAGCAGAAACAAGCCCAGGGGTTCTACCCCAGACCCCCAGCTCCTACCCAGGGCCTGCGGCTGCAGACAGGCTATTCTGGGAAGCTGAGGCTGAGGACCCAGCAGTCCCCAGATTCCTCTTTCCAGGAGAGTGTGTGGCCAGGCGGCTTTGCTGTCATCTTTTCTGGAACCCTCCAGGTTCTGGCACATCATGCTTCTGCCAAGGGCTGTGAGCTGCTTTTAGCACCCGTCACTCCCAATCACAGCCACTCACCTGCCAGCCCAGCACGGGCAACAGGAGGGACAAGAGCAGGACAGGCTGCCAGCCCTGCACCCTGCTGTCAGGTGGCCCCTGCGCCTGACCCTGCAAAACTAGCCCCAGGTCAGGGGCGGGGAGGCAGGGGCTTCAGAATCAAGCTCAGTCCTTGCTCCTCAGCCCGGACACACCACCCTTTGCCGCCCCCAGGCCTGGCAATTTCTGCTCCATGGGATCAGACAGCATGGGAGGTTGTTCATCTCATTCCCACACACCACGGGGAGGGAGGCTTGTGTCCCAGCCTCCTGGGGGCAGAGCTGTCCCTTCCTTCTGAGTGTCTGCTCTATGGGAAACCATGAGCTCTGGAGGAGCAGAACCACAGAAAGGGGCTGGGTACAGGGAGAGGGTGCTGTGTGCAAGGGAAAGGAGCTGCAGTACAGAAGTCTTCAGTCCGGCCCACCGGCAAGGAAGCCCACCAGCTTGGGGAGGCACAGGGTGGTGGCAGCCAGGTGGTACAACGGGAAACGTCCTGGGCTGGCAGCCAGGAGTCCCGGGTTCAAGTCCTGAGTGCTGCTCCTCACTTGCTCTGTGATGTTTGGCCAGTCCCCTGTCTCAGTTTCCCCAGCAAAAATTCTCCAAGACATGAGTGTTTGTTTAAAACCTCTGGATGGTGTTGGTGAAAACACGGATTACCCGGCCTGTCCCAGGGACACCAGTTGTAGGTCTGGGGTACCCTCTAGGAATCTGCATTTTAAGCAAGTGTCTCAGCTCCGAGGATGCCGATGACATTTTGCAGATCACCTTGTGAGAAGCACCGATGCAGGTCAGCAGGAAGAAACGGGGCAGCCACTGAGGAAGGGACGGATGAGGTGCACTGCCCCAAGGCGTGCCCAGGGCTACATCAGCCCACTCTGACAAAACCTGAGGCTCTAGCCATAAGACAGGGCCCAGCAGGTACCCTACCCTGTGGGCTGGCACCACCACTGCAGGCCTTTCAGGCAACTCCGGGCAGCATAACACACACTGCTTTTCACTTCTTATTGCCCCTTTTGGTTTTTCTTCTAGAATTCTAGTAAGTCCCTCTCATTTTCTCCTCTGCCTCCTTTCCCCCCATTTCAGGAAACTTTTGGGAGCTCCTGCCTTGCCCCAGCACTCTGAGGCATTTTGTGACAATTTGAGGGTGGGGACTGTGCCCTCTGCAAGTCTGCACACCTGGGGCCTGCATATGCCCTGCCTGGCCCCATCAGCTCCACCAGCAACACTGAGGCTGCCGCTGCCCCACGGTCCAGGCAGGCCGAGCCATCCTGCCCTAGGGAGGCAAACTCCACTGGCATAGGGAGGTCCAGAGTCGTCAATGATCCAAGAAACCCAAGCCAGCTCCAGGAGGGCACTGGTGGCAGGTACAGGCATAGGTTTCAAATCCTGATGCTTCTTAGCTGGGTGACCTTGGGCAAGGTACTACTCTGCACCTCAGTCTCCTCTTCTGTAAATAGCATGATGATAATACTAGTGTGGATTGAGCACTTACTGCATGCCTGGCTCTTTACTAAGCACTTTATACATAGGAACCCATTTCATCCTTCCACCACTCCTACGTGCAGACGCCCCATCTCTCCATTTTATAGATGTGGACACTGAGACATGAAGATGTCGAGAAACTTGCCCCAGGCTGTCGCATGGCTTGTAAGTGACGTAACTCACGCTCTGGCTTCACAGCTCAGGTTCATAACCACCATACTCTACTGATATTGACTCTATTACCTGCACCTCATACAGTTAGCGGCGAATTAAATGAGCCACTTGGAACATTAGTTGTACGTGATAAATGCACACAAAGGTGGCAGTGGATATTACTGTTATTATTTGCCTAACACTTTTTTTTTTCCCAGAGCAGGATTTTTTAGCCTGGATGAGCCAGAAAAATGTACCCACTCTTGGTTTTATCTTCATGGGGTTGGTCAGGACAGTTTAGGATTGTATAAGATGGAGCCTAAGAGAGCAATTCCGGTTCCCAGCTCTCCAGAAATTGTACCAAAATAGCATACCTAGGAGCACACTTCTCGAGTCTCCAAGTAGGTGGCTGTTTGAGCAGCTGGATGCCTCCTTTCCCCCTTGCAAGGGGGCACTGATGTCCATCCCTATCTTCCCAGAGCCGAGGGCTGAGGTGGGGTGGGGAGACTGCTCTTCAGCCTCCATATGGGGACTTGGCGGGCATTTCAAAGAGCCTGGGAGGTGGGTTGGCCACTCTAGGCAGAAGCTGCTTGCTTCCCATCAGAGACTCCCAGGAGCTCTATTCTTAGGGTGCTTTCTCTTGCTTTTAACTTTGCCATCTTCCAGAGGTACCATGCACAAAAGCAACCCTGCATGGCTGTAATTTACACATCACGTCGCTTGCACACAGCACAGTCCACCCCCTTCAACTCGCTCCCACACACACACATTCCCCCAGCCCGCCCTGCAGACATGGCTTCTGCATCGTCCCACCTCCTTCCACTCATTCTCCAGGAGGAAAAAGAGAAATGTGAAATTGACAGAGGAAGGGAAAGTGGGGATGGGGTGGGGAACTTCAGTGAAATCCAAGCTTTGGAACTTCCCCAATTCCAGGCTGGTCATCACTTCTGCTTGGCGGTCCACATTGCCATGGCAACAGCCCAGCTGTGGCCAAATGCCCTAGCTTGCCACCCAACCTGGGAGTGCCCCGCATGAGCCACTTACTGTGATGGTGTTTTCCTTGCTTTGCTTTTTGCCTGGTGACGAGGATCCCAGATTCTGGGGAGAGAGGTAAGAAACACTGTCAAAGCTATTCTCCATATTGGACTTTTTTTTTTTCCCCATTCAGGTTTCCTGAGGGATTGGTTAAGCGCCCTGTAACTCCTAAGTCACCATATTCTGGGCCAGGGCAGGCAGGAATGTTTTTGACTTCATGCTGCTCCTGTGCTGGCTCTCAGGCTGGAGGAAGCCTCCTGCACAGGCTCTGAGAGAACTGCTCCAAACCAGGTCTGTCCTCCTCTCCTCGCAGTCTGTGATTTAGGGAGTTAACCCCTCCACTGCCCTCTGCTGGTAAACAGTTCAGCATGCTGCCTGCTGCTGGAAGTGGCAGAATCCACTGGGGAGTAGAGAGTTAAGGCAGATTGCAGGCCACCACCTCCTGGCACTGAGGACTCAGCACATGACATTTTACTCTGAAACCCTCAGGTTCAAAACATCAAACCCTAAATACACATAATGTGCACTGGGGTGCTGCTCGGTCACCTCCATGACGTGCTGCTCTCCCAATCCTGTGAGCCAGGAGGGACTTCTCGGCCACACCGAGTTTTAGCTTGCATTCAGTCTTTGGATTGCCTTTTTATGTCTTCCCTGTTGCAGCAAGAAAACCAGAGTCCCAAGAACTCTGAACCCACAGGTCCTCAGCAGCTTGCCAAAGGGCTGTTCTGGCAGAGAAAATTAAGGATTGCCAGCTGAAAATGCCACAAAAGAGAATGCTCAATTCCAGGTCTTCATTGTTCCATTAGCAATTATGTTAGAGATTCGATACCAGAGGTTCCTGAGCAGGACCTGTGAGGTCTCCTGTTCTGAGCCACACAACACACTGGAAAGCAGGCTTACCCCTAGGGCACTGTGGGCAACCGTCATACATGTGCCCGGGACTCAAGCACAGTCTTACACTATCTTTGGTGGAAAGTAGGGAAGAGGCTGTCACTTTATAGATAAAGCCCAGAAAAAAAGCATGGAGGGGTTCTCCAGTGAGCCCAGGCCCCCTGGCCCCCAGGCCCCCAGGCCAGCACAACCCTGAACAGCCTGGCAGGATGAGTCCTGCTCAGGAAGCCATCAGTGAATCACGCTAAGCAGTGATCTTGATGGTGTCCCTGCCATGGTCTCACTCTGACTCCCCTGCAGTTCTACTTTGGCTGGGGATAAAGTCAGCTTATGAAAATGAATATCATTAGAGATCTAGAGAAAAGAACCTCAGAGATCATCCATGTCACAGAAAAGAAAATGATTACTAGCTTTGAGAGCCAGGCCAAGGAATCTGACTTCTTTGAGCCTCGGTTTCACCATCTGTAAAATGGGTTGTTATCACTGGACCTCAGGCTTTGAAGTGTATCAGAATTAACTGAGGAAAGCACACAAAATAGAATCCCAGCTGCACCCCCCAGCAGGTCCCAGGTGGGGCCAAACCCTCCAATGCAGAACCTGAAGACCTCGCTTGGAGGCACACCGATTTGATCTACCTTCTGTCATTTTATCATTTTATCTATTTATGGCAACTCCTCTAGCAGCCCCAACAGGCTCCGGGGCCATGTCAAGCTTGTGACCAACTATAGCTTCCACAGACATTTAAATCCATTACTCATTCAGCTGACCCACCCTGGACCCTCCCAAGATATCAGCTCTTCCCCAGGGCACTTGCCAAAATTGCCCGGGGAGGAAGGCGGACTGAGGCTGCTTGGCTGGGGCTCCAGTGCCAGTCTCCCAGGAGAAGAGATGGGGGCAGAAGTCTTTCCACAGGTTCAACCATGAGGAGACACTGGCCAAGCCAATGCATGCCAGGAAGGGGGAAGGGTAGCCTTTGGGATGGATTCTGTAGTTTGCAGGAGTCTCCCTGTCATGGACACACGTCACCACCACCACTGTGTTCCCACTGCAGCCCACTGGGGAGGGCAACCTGCACTCCAGCAGCCTCGACGACAGCCCTGGAGACTACACATCGCTGCTGGCGGTGATGAGGAAGAGGATGAGGCGGATAACTGTAAGAGGGAGGAAGCGCTGCAAGAGCTACCGAGTGCTCGTCCACCACGGCAGGCACCAGGGTCAGCACTTGAACTACTTAATCTCATTGAATCCTTACAACGCCTGCCAGTTAAATGGCACCAACTCTGTTGTACAGATCATGAACCGAAGCTTACAGAAGCTAATGTGTTCAAGTCACAAGGCTAGGAAATAGAGGAACCCACGTCCGCATAACTCTTTCCTCTATCTTCTGCCATCTCTCCACTTTGAGACCTGGGACAGGATCTTGTTTTCCAGCTGTCTTTGCAGGGGGTACAAAAAGATCTCCATCATCCACATTCAGTCATCTCGGGACCACTGTGTATAAGACTTTGTGGAATGAGGCTGGACACAGAGGTCCCTCTTCCTCCCTATAACTTGGGCCAGGACAGGAATACAAGTAATGGCTTTGAGTGTGGGTGTTCAGAGTAGGGGTGTCAGCAGCTTCCCTGATCATTGCCCTATCGGCTGTGTGCAACTTCAATCCGTACTGACCAGGGTGGTCACAGGCAGTCTCAGGCTCTGTGTTTGCTGCTGCTGGTCTGTGCCTGTTACTCTAACTTCATTTACATGTGTCATATACATGCACCATATATATATATGCATTTCACACACACCCCACCTCATAGCACACCACTAAAAGGGCCTCATCACACCTCATCACACCACATAACACCTACTACCTAGAAACCGGTTTCTAGATACTACAAATATTTGTCACTAAAAGGCACCCAAGCTCCTTGGAGCAAATTCCAAATGCAAGGTAGACCTGGAACATCCCTGTTGTGCCAGGAGATAAGAAAGTACTCAAAAAATGATGGAAAGATAACAAAAGGACACAGGAGCCCGCTAAAAAGGTGCTTTCACAGTCCAAATTTGGGACAATTTGAGCACAAATATGAATAACAACTACAAATGATTAACTCCAAAGGCAGGCAGGGGGACATTTCTTTACAGAAGAATGCCAATAAAAAACACACTAGAAATCAGAGAATCACCATCTGTAAACCCCAATGTCAAAAGGGATTCAGGCCATGATCATCACGTATGCTCAAAGCACCGTGTGAAATGACGGTCAGGGAACATGGTCTCGCGTTGGCACTCCATAAATGACCGACAAAGTAGAAAAAGAAAATGTACCCCTGCAAAACACAAATCTGGTAGTTACATTAACCAAGAGCTCAAACTCAGCCTCCACAGGAGGGTGATAACCTGGGATTCTGTGCCTCCTGGCAAGGTGCACGGAGAAGCCCTCAACACACCCCACACAACAGTCTTGCCAAGACTGCTGACCTGTGTCTAAGCATAAGCAAACAATTAGATCTAAGAATGTAGGTCACTCTAAAAGGCCATTGACCCGGACTCTTCTAAATAAAAAAATAATTAATTAACATATAAATAAGTCAATGTGACACAAAAGAAAAAACGTGTGAGGGACTGAATCTTCATGAAAAAGACTAAAGCTAGAAATTAGATGAAATGGTCAACAAAAGAATATCACCCAGCCATAAAAAGGAATGAAGGTCTGATCCTTGAAAACACGAAGCCAAGTGAAAGAAGCCAGTCACAAAGGACCACACATTGTACGGTTCCATTTATACAAAATGTCCAGAATAGGCAAAACCACAGGGACAGACAACAGAAAAGTGGCTGCATAAAGCTTGGGGGGATTCTTTGCGGGGTGATGAAAATGTTCTAAAATTGATCGTGACGATGGCTATATAACTCTGTGAATGCACTAAAAACCACTGAATTGTACATTTTAAATGGGTGAATTGTGTAGTATGTGAATTACATCTAAACAAAGATATTTTTTAAAAAAGAAAGACTAAAGAGACAAAGCAACTAATGTACCCATGTGAGAAACTGGAATGGGTCCTGGATTGGGAAGAAAAGCAGATATAAAAGGCATTTGGGGACAATCGGGGTATTTGAATATGGATTATATATATTAACTGATATTACTGAATTAATGTTTTCTTAAGTGTGACAATGGTATTGAGACACTTGATACCATTCAGATACGAGGGCACTTCAAAAAGTGCATGGAAAGGGCCGGCCCAGTGGCGCACTGCTGCAGTACGCCGCTTGGGAAGCACGGTGGCGCTCCCGTCGAGGGTTCGGATCCCACATACAGACCGGTTCCCGCTCACTGGCTGAGCGAGG